TTATTATATAGCAGTTACATTGTATTGAGTATTATTCAAAGTGTACAGGAGGGTGTGCATAGATTTTATGCAAATAGTATACCATTTTATTCTAATGGATTTGAGCATCTGTAGCTTTTGGTGTTCGAGGGTGGTCTTAGACTCCCAATGGAGATGACTGTGCAAGTATGTGTCTTTCACATTTTTGGTAACCATTTACAGGGTGAGGGAGGGTGTGATAAGGGCTTGTGGAGTAGGACTATTTCTTAACACACCAGATAATTTTGACATTTTTTCCCAGTTTTACCAAGAATAATTCTTTCATTTCCAAGAACACTGGCTCTGCTTACTTATGATTGTGTTTTACTTGTTATCTGAAAATAAGGTTCTTTTTTTTTCATTTAGAAATATTCCTTCCTTTTCAAAATTTTGGGTCAAAGGGCTCGAGTTTCTACTGTAATTGTTGACTTAATCAATTGTAATAGGCATACCCTCCCCGAGTGCTGCTGACCATTCTTATGTACTCATTTTCTAAGACATTTTCTGTCAAGGAAAAAGAAGAGCTCATAATTGGATTAAGCTTTTCACTCGTTTCCTTTGGGCATTCATTTGCATTTGGAAACATTTGCTGCCTATAGACAAATTTAGCATCAATATTAAGAGCAGTGCATTTTCTGCCCAATGTATTGTGCATGTTAACTCCTAATAGAATCATAGGATGCTTATAATTTTGTTTTTTTTCTCTATCTCTTTCTTTCTTCTGGTGCAAGGGATTGAACCTAAGGCCTGGTGGAATGCTAAACACATGCTTTAACCACTGAGCTATGCTCCCTGCTCCTCTTTTAGTTTAAAAAAATTTTTTAAATCCTCACAACAATTTTATGGACTAGGTGTGATGAAACCAAGGCTAAGTGACAATAAGTAATAAAACTTAAGAGCATGGGCTCCAAAGCCCATGCTCTTAACTACTGTGCCTGTATCTCTCTTATCTATGGTATGCCATGTTATAAAATGCCTTCATATTAGAAGACTCAAGTAAAACTCAAGCATCCTGATCCCTGACTCTATTTTGGGGCTTCTTTCTTTTCCATGTGCATTGTGTGTGATCATCTAAAATATTCTCTCACAAGTACCCCCTTTACTTTCACTACTGTTAAACTCACTCCACAATATCGCATCCCTGCCTCAATGTCACAGTTTACTTCCCATTACTATTCCTATCTTCAGATTAGCTAATCAATGCTTGAAAAAAAAATCCATAAACCTTGCAATGAACCTTGCAGATTGGTAGCACTGCACATTGATGACTTTAAGTCCTTGCTGGTCTCTCAGTAGTCCCATTTAGTTTGGTGGCTCATCAGGTTCCTCTTTCATGGCCTTTAACAACTGTGCCATGCCATTACCACTTTTTTTGGGTGGTGGTGGTGGTGGTAATGAGGACTAAAGCTAGGGCTTCTTGTAGGCTAGGCAACTGTTCTACTACTGAACTATGTCCCTATCTCTTTTTAAAACTTTATTTTGAGACAGGGTCTCACTGAGCTGTTCAGGCTGGTCTCAAACTTGCCATCCACCTGCCTCAGTCTCCTGAGTAGCTGGGATTACAGGAGTGTGCCATTGTGATTGGCTTTACTTTTTTCTAAGTTCTCATTTCCCATACTCCTCGCAAATTATGTTTTCCCCTACTTTATCAAAATATGGAGGCCATCAAGCATTTTCGTGTTCAGCTTTCCATCCCCCTTCATGGCCTCTTGCCTACATGCATCCAGTGCTGGACTTTCTTCCACAGGGTGAATAGTTCCTCTTTCTGTTTAAAACCAGCTCCTTATCCTGTGCCCTAGACTGTTTTTTTCTTTCTTTCTTTTGAAACCTGATCCATAGGTTTCCCCTTTCTCTAACTTCTGTAATATTCTGTTCTCTTGCTTCTGCTTCAAGCTCTAACTGCTTCTTTCTTTTTCACTGTCTGGGCTTTTTCTGCTCAGACAATGGTGTTTCTTAATATTTTTATTCTACACACTATTCTTAACATCATATCATCCATCTATACTTTGAATCTCAATTATACAAATCCAGTCTACACTTCAACAAAGAGATTCAGGTCCATGGTATAATGGTGATCCATGGTTAAGATCCATAAATTTCTCAATACCCAATACTGACCACTACACTGGATCTCTTGATTTCTCTCTTGATTTAGTGGTTCTACTGTCTAGCTAGTTGGCCAGGCTTATAATGCATGTATGGTTGCAGCTTAGTGTTGCCCTGTGGTTATTATTCAGAGTGTTAGCAATTTTTCTCCTGCTACTTCATCTGACTATGAGCACCTTAGTCAGTTGCCTTCCTACTTGGTCATTTTGTCTGACTTCTTCGTCCCTTCAAATGTATACTCTATAACTACCATATTTTTTAAAAATGAAAATCTAATCATGAGTGCCAAACATATGTTTTGTACCTCTGTAGATTCTCTCTGCTTTACCCGTTTCCAGACCCTTGGATTACTGCTTGTGAAGACCCCTGAAATTCCTCTTTAGTTTGACCAGCCATACTCTTGGAGTTTCCAGCTTTGATTTCTACTTCTGGATGGAAACCTAGTGAGGCAACCCAAAGGTACACAGAAATGACCTCTCCCGGGGCAACTTGACCAGAAGGAGTTAGGAGATAAAGCCCCTCTCTGCCTTCCCTTTCATGATTTTCCCACATAGGCTGTCCAGCAACATCCCAAGTGGCCAAGCAGGTGCTCCTTTTACCTTCCAGGTGATTGGCGGGGCATCTTTATGGCTGTCACAGAGAAGTGACTATTTATATTTCCCATTCTTCCCTCACTTCCCTTTTCCTTTCCTTTGCTGCACTGGGATTGTACTTCCCAATAAAACTTCAGCACCTTAATACTAGCCTTCATTTTCTAGGGAAGCTTGCTTATAGAGGTGTTTTAAGTGTGGGAGGGGGCAGTTTGGATTTATTTATTTATTTTTTAAAATTTTTTTTTAGTTCTCGGCGGACACAACATCTTTGTTGGTATGTGGTGCTGAGGATCGAACCCGGGCCACACGCATGCCAGGCGAGCGCGCTACCGCTTGAGCCACATCCCCAGCCCAGGCAGTTTGGATTTTAAGTTTGGAGGGGGCAGTGGGATTTAAAAAAGATATTCCAGTATAGATATGCATAACAGTTACATTTTAATTATTTTGCTTTTTTTAAAAAAAATATTACTGTTAAGATATTATATTGGGGGCTGGGGTTGTGGCTCAGTGGTAAAGCACTTGCCTAGCACGTGTGAGGCACTGGGTTCAATCCTCAACACCACATAAAAATAAATAAAAATAAAGGTATTGTATCCATCTACAACTAAAATAATTTAAAAAGATATTATATTGGTTATTAAAAATTAGTTGTGCAAGTAAGTTATATAGTCCATGACTGTACTTACATGAGTTTGTTATAGACCCCTATTCCAGTTTTATTGAGCTATTATTAAACTCAGACCACAATTTTCATTACTATAATTTCATAGAAATTATTTATTTTTTCTTCTTTTTCAACTCATTTTCTTCCCTTCTCCTCCTTTCACTTTCCTATTTCTATTTTGCCTATACAAACTAATACAATGCCCCTATAAACATGAGGCAAACTGACATATGCTTAAATCTGTGTTTCCTTAACCATGGATAATTTTCATCTTTTCCTATTTATCACTCTTTCTTTCTTTCTTTTTTTTTTCTTTTGCTGCCTAGTGTCCCTACTTCAGGATTTGCAGTGTGTGGGGATGATGGGCTTGGAAGAACTTCTGCTTGTAGCTCATGTTTTTCCTTTGCATTTTTTTTTCTTTTTTGGTCATGTGGACACCACATTTCATAAAATATTCTATTTCTCTTTATTACTGGATTTAAAAAAAATCTCTCCCGTGTAGGTTTATTTCTCTTCTATTCATTCTCTTTGGGTACCTGACTATTTTTTTTTCTGGAATGATGAAATTCTTCTCTGAATTAGGGAGTGGGCTGACATCAGACTCTTGTGGCACATGAATGAGTTACATGGTGTTCAATGGCCTCATATGGCTTTAGAAACAATTTGTTGCCCCAAATTCTGACTTTGTTCTGGATATAGGTAATGAGGAAATTACAGAGTGTGGCTGGAGGAGAAATAGGCACACCTCTCCCTAGGGTTCTACCTCCCTAGGCTCTCTGGGATATTCTGCTGCCACCATCTTGACTTTCTCGGAGGCCATGTCTTTTCTGCCCAGTGTCCTTCTTCTTTGACATTTTATTGCCTCTAATACAGATGACTTTTCTATTCAACTGGCCAGATTCTATATTTAAAAAAACTCAACCAGCATTTTGACTTTTTTTTTTCATTTTATCAATCAACTGGAAGGGATTAACCATATCAACCATGTTGGCTCATCGATTCTGATGGCAGGAGATGGGCTCTAGTGAGTGGTGTGTGTCTGTGTGTGTATGTATAAAGAATAGTGGTGGTGGTAGCAAACAAGCATGGAGAGCATTTATTTATATTGTCATTTCCATAGAAACTTTAAAGGGAAAAGTGTATTTGTTGACTCACACCCCATCTTGATTTAGAAGCTCTGATAATTTTTATAAGACAAAATAATATATATTTAAAAAGGAATCAAGGCCAAATTAAGTCAATATAGTTTGGTTTATAATAAAATGTTAATATAAAGTCACTGAATACACATTGAAAGGTTGCCATGGTAACAGTTCATGGAATGATTTCAGATATTAGATCTTGAGTGATAGCATGCCTTGTAATTTGCTTCGAGGCTTCTTCAGTCCGCTTGCTTGCTCTCTCACATCCCTTCCCACCCACCTCATCTCATGTGGAATAGGAAACTGTAGTTGATGCATCTTTTTTTAATTAAAAGCAACAGAAGTCAATTTTGGCTCATTGAGGCAGAAACATATCCTTATTGATAGGATGAAAGGACAGTTCACAGAACTGAAAGAAATGTGGAGAAGTATTTCAGAGTAGGGCTTCAGAGGGATCAGGAAGGCAGAACAACTCTTGAGGATGGGGGGAACAGGAATCATGGAACGGTCTCTTCAGGGCAATCATAAAGCTGAGTAAACTTTTGCCATTTTAGTTTTTTTTTCTCTGTATTCAGGTTTCCAATTCCAGGGAGTTACTGATCTGCCTGGTTCAAGAAAAAAAAATTCTGTTTGTACACACAGATAGACACACATACTCACACACACCTTTTTTTTTTCCGTGTGGAGAGATTCTCATAGGGGTTCATAGATGCATTCAGATTATAAATCATAAAACACAGACAATAGACTTGTAATGATCATATAAGAAGTGCTGGCATTAAATGAAGACATTCATTATGCCTGAATGGCTTTATTTCTGGGCATGATTTTCTTAAAATTTGTGTTTCTCTGGGATTTTAAAAAGTTTTATCCTTTATGCTTATGTCTCCTACTGTCTTGTTTTTCTTCATTTCTTTTTTATCTTTATTTATGAATTCTCATCAGTGAATATTTTCATAAGGGTGTTCTGCTTTATAATGTCCCCTTCCAGGGACCTCCACTGTGTTCCCTTCCCCAACTCTTCCTCTCTTTCTGGGCAGTGTCCAAAATGCTACATGTTTCTGGATCCTACTTTCCCTTTTCCTTCTGTCCTCTTTTCTAGTGTCCTCCTTTTTAAGACTAGCTAAATATAAAAGCAGAGATGTTATTGTATTGTTGGTTAACAGTGAGTTAATACTACTTTTGGAAGACTACATTACTGTAACCAATTCTTCAACCTTCCCGGTGTCCCCACCCTGTGTCATGTGACATTGTGGTGGTTCTTCTTATCAGAGATGGAGTATATTTCCCTGTCCTACTAATGTTAGGATTGGCTATGTGATTTGCTTTGGCCGATGAGATATTAGTGGACACAATGATGACAAAAAGCTTCAAAGATGCTTGTGGTTTTTGTCTTGCCCTCTTGGTCTGCATTGCCATGAGCATATCACAGATTTTCTGCAATTCCCAGAAGAATGAGTGGCATGTGGAGCAGAATTGCCCCAGTTGACTCACAGTCTGAGGCTGAGCTGTCCCAGCCAGACCTGCAGACTTAGGAACATGAGAATAAATGCTTATTGTTGCATATCCCTCAATTTTGGCATAATCTGTTAAGTGGTACTTTTGTGGCAATACTTAAGCAACACATTACTTATATCAATGGAATACATTTTAATTTAAACTGGGATATTTTGGAGTTCATGCCTAAATCCATTTGACCGTTTTATAGATATTCATGCAAGATAGAGACAAAATGTTGGGCAGATGGTGTTCTTTTGGGATTCCCTTAGTAGATACCCAGAGGAAGAAGCCTATTAAGTGCATTTGGTTTTGCATACTAAATTACCAATATTTTTGTTAGGAAAGGAAGTACATTTTGAAAACCTTTATAATAGTGTAGTTGCTGGGATTCTTCCCAACAAAATACATTTTCATCATAATTCGAGTATAGGTTACACTGTCACTCTAATTATAATAAACTGTGAGGGCTCTGATAGACTCTTGAAACTCTATTTAACATCATATCCAACAGATTTCCAGGCAAAGTCTTCTGGGGGAAGCCATCAACCCTTTCCTGGAACTTCCCCTGTTTATGAGAGTGACTTTGAGTTCAATGCTTTTTTATTTTTTTGACTAAAAACCTCAGTGTTTATGAGAGGCTTTTTATTTGTGGCAGCAGGCTGTATGTAGAGGACTGCTCATCTGTCAACCAGGACTTCCAGAAACTTATGTTATGAGAATCATAAACTGTGTTTTAAAATGCTTATTGTTGGGAGGCACTTTGGATTGAGCAGAGGGAGGGAGGGGAGACAGAGGAGTGGAGGGGGAGTGTGTGTGGGGCAAGATGGTAGAATAATATGGACATTATTATCCCTATATATGGGTATGAATGCATGAATGGTGTAACCCTACATCATGTACAATCAGAGAAATGAAGAGTTGTGCTCCATTTGTGTAAAAAAAATATTAAAAATATCCTTATTGTTTTTATGGTTAAAAAATACTTCTAAAATAAGCAAACATTACATAAATAAATAACATTGTAAGTAAAAATCATCAGTAATCCTATGTCTCAGAAATAACTACTCCCAATTTCTTCAGATTTTTTCTAAACTTATACAAATGTGCATTTTTTTTTTTTTACAGAAAAAGGGTTATCTGTAGCCACCTTGTAGCTTGCTTTTTTCTACATAACAATACATTGCAGACGCCTTTCCTTATTAGTCAATATTCTAGTTTTTTTTATTTTAAAATTTTCTTCACAGAACTATTTACAAAGTGATTCTCTTTGAGCATAATTTTATTCTCTTTTCTAGGATTCTATCATAAAATGGCACAATTGTTTATTTGCACCTGCTTAAAACAGTAAAAATTTGGAAGAAACAATTTAAAAAGGATATTATTGGATTACCAAAATCAACTAAAAGTCCAGTTGATAAAAATTCATTTTCTTTACTCAAGGGTGGGCCTCAGTCTGAGCTAACTTTTTGCTTGAACTTTAGATACATTTTTTTTTACCTTAATATAAAACCCCTAATAGAAGGAAGATATCAGAGGGAAAAGGAACTGCTAGGAGCCTGTAGTGATAACAGCAGTAAGAAATGACAGATGCCATTCTTAATTTGTAGAGAGATTCAGAATGAACCATTCAAAGCATATACAGGGCTGGGGACGTAGCTCAGTGATAGAGTACTTGCCTCTCATGCATATGAGGCCTATGGTTTAATCCCTAGCACTGCAAAACCAAAAAACCAAACAAAAACAACAACAACAAAACAAATAACAAAAAAACCACCAAAAGAATTTACAGACTTTTAGTATAGAAGTAAAGAACCAGAATTTCAAGAGTTCCTGAAGGTAGCCCCAGTTAAGAGAGCTGATATTCTTAGTGATGGACCTGAGGATAGAAAAAATTCATTATTGTCTACTCTACTGGAACAGGGAAATTATTATGCATTTTTGGAAAAGTTTTCTCCAAGTGTATAAAATTAAAAAAATAAAATAAAGGGCAGACTCCAGTAATATGAAGAAGATAATTGGGTGGCTTCTTTTCTCCTTACAATAAATATATTTTATTCAACAAAATTTAAGTAAGGGGAAGGGAAGCAGTATGGTCTACTTCCCAGCCTCCCTTGCAGTTACATCATGAAGACTCAGTATAACTAGGGGAATAGGAGCAGAAGTGAAGGGCGTCTCATTCAGACCTTGTCTCAGATCTTTTTCCTTGTTGGTGTGAAGTTGAAGTTCAGGGCAACCAGAAAAGCCATGCATTGAGGATGACAAGGACCCAATTTGTGTGGTTCCTATCCTCTCTCGCTCTTTCAGGCAGATTGGATTTGTAGGTAAGCAAGTAATTTTCAGGAGACAATGGGGTTTATCTTTACAGCTGTAAGCATTACCTTTACTTACAGTATAAAAGTAATATGCTTGCCGCAGGAAGCTTGTCAGTCTTTGGAAATAGTTCAGCTCCATTTGTTTATATTCTTTTGTGTGGCATTTTCTTACCACAAAAACATGGACCTGGTGAGGCTTATAGCATGGAGACCTCCCCTCATCCAGTGATCTTGAAGGAAACCCAGTTTTCTAGGTTTGGCCTTGCATAGTCACTGGCTCTGGTCTTGAATGGGACCTCAGTGAATCTGGGTGGACTTCAATTGTACATCTCTCCACTTTCCTGGTAATGGATTTAAATCTTCCTTTATATCTTGGAGGATAGTTTTGTAGTTTTTCCCTTCAATCTGTATCTTCCATGTCTCTTGTTAAATTTATTTCAAGTGGTCATTCTTTATGTATAAAAAAGATACCATTGCTATTGGAGCAGGTTTTATATTTTTTCAAATGGTCCTGGCTCATTGCTCCTATATAGGAAAGTTCATGATTTGGGTCATTGATTTTACAACTACTTTAATGAACATTTTGATTAGTTCTGATAGCTTAGCAATTGATTTACTGAAGTTTTAAGTAGACTATCATCTGATAATCTTGTTTACCTTCTGATAGTTATATTTTTTTATTGCCTTCCTTCCCACTCCCATTTGGCAAAATATCCAAAGTAATTTAAATAATAGCTATAATATTGGATATACCTCTCTTGATCATAAACCTATATGTACAAGGGGTTTGATTTCTGATTTTCTGTTTCTCTACTCAGGGCTTTGTGAATTTTGTTAAATGAAGGAAATTGTTCCCCAAGTTTAATGCCCTGGGATGGATAACAGAATGTGAAAATTATCTGTACCTTGGAAGTATGCTATTTTCAAATTATGTCAACTGATGTGTGCAATAAAATTATATAAATCCTTCTTTAGAAAGAAAGGAAATTATAAGAAGAGAAATGCATTTTTCTCCTTTAAGAATAGAAATCAACCTACCAATAGAATGCTTATTAGCTAGATTTTGAAGGTTTAAGGAAAGTCTGCAAGCAAAGCATATTTGTTTTGATTAAATAACTGTTCTTCCACTCTTAACATGCAAGAAGAAGAATTTTTTTTGTACTACTAAAACGATCTCTTTAGTTCCTTTCTTATAGCACACAATAGAATCTTTTAAATTAACTGTTCCTAACACTTGTGAAATGGTGTTTAGATAAATTATATTATTTCAATAGTATTCTTATGAAGAGGGATAATAAATGACTCAAATGTTCAGTAATTTCTTTTTCATTGTTGTTGTGGGTTGGGGATTGAACCCAAGGACTCATAAATGCTAAGCATGTACTTTACTATGGAACTATAGATTCACAGTAAACTTCTTAGACTTACCTTAAAAGTGAGTTGTAATCAATGTATATTAAAACACATATCTGATTGATTCTACAATAGTGATTTGAAAAAACGGTAAAAAAATTCTTGATAATTTTGCCTTCTGAAACCTAAACATGGTATGTAAGAAATAAAGTGAGATAATTATGCCATCATGGATACCCCAAATTACAATGTAACCCAAACTCATTAAGGTAGCATAAAATGGATTTAATGTTAACTTATTTGACACATATTATGGCCGGAAATAGGCACACACATATTGCATCATCTCCTTTCTCACCTTGCTTTCCCTCTCTCCCCGAATCACTTCTCCCCTATTGAGAAGCTTGCACATGAAGGAACCCACACCTTTTGTCTTTTCCTTTTCCTCCATTTGACCTCCCCAGCTCTAAGCTTGAAGGCAATTGAGACCACTTACAGCAGAATGTGTCAGATGTGCAGCCTGCTGAGTGAGCTGCTTTCTCCCTGCAGGGAAATGAAACACATCTAGGATCAACCTGCCAACCCTCCTGCCCAGCCCCAGTCTATTTCCCCTCCCATCCTCCCAGGAGGGATCTAGGGAATCATCCTCCATCCTCTCTGAGTCACCTCCCTGTGCCAGAAGGTTACATGGAAGGATGACTCACAGTTGACAGGCCACATTCAAGGCTTTGTGAAGCCAGAAGGGTGATGAAGGGTGCTAGGTGATGGAGTTTTTTAGCACCTGGACTTGAAGAGCTAGAAAGTTGCCTTGTATGGGTGGCTGCAGTCAAACTAGTCCACAGCTGGTGTGTGTGTGTGTGTGTGTGTGTGGACTGCAGAGGACAGTGGTATGACTAGCAGGTGTTCCTGGGCACAGCATTGAAGGCTGCTTGTCTGATGAGGGGAGGAAGGGCTGGTATGGGGTGAATGTTTGCATATCCTTCCACCCAATCATGTATATGTTGAAAGTCTAACCCTCAAGGTGATAATGTTTGGAACTGGGGCCCTGGGGAGATAATTAGGTTTAGATTAGGTAAGGAGGGTGAGATCCTCATGGTAGAATTAGTGCTATTAATAGAATAGTGCTATTAATAGAATATTGCTCTCTCTGTGCACAGACATCAAGGAAACCCACATGAGCCCAGTGAGAAGGCAGTTGTCTTGGAGCCAGAAAGAGAGCTCTTACCCCAGGTAAATCTGCTGGTACCTTGACCTTAGTCTTCCAGCCTCCAGAACTATGAGAAATAAATAATCCGTTTAAGCTGCCCAGACTGGAGTACTTTGTTATAGCAGCCCAAACTAAGACAAGGCCACTCTGCACAGTAGAACATGAAGTGAGTCTCTGCTGCCTCTATTTTTTTTCAAACAACATGCATCTTGTAATGTGTAGATTTTTGCCCCCTAATAATTTTAGTTTTTTCCACAAATTCACTAGTGTGTGTGTGTGTGTGTGTGTGTCTGTGTGTGTGTGTCTGTGTGTGTATGTATACACACACAGACACACACACACACACACTTTTTGGTTTAAACATTAATGTTTGCCTGATGCATGAATTCCTTATTAAAAGACAATGGCAAAAGCATGTATTACCCCATTTGAAAAAAGCCTCAGGAAAAATACTATCTGCAGCTTTAGATGATTTTAAATTGATCTCCAATGGCTTGTCCTACTTTTATGTTCTCTTTTTTATAACTATTATTACATTTTAATGGAATTAATCTAAAACATGTTTACCTTACCCTGTATAATTCAGAATCTGACCTGTGCATGTTTATTTTTTAATGCTGTTTATCTTCTCTTATGAGAATGTGGCTCATTCCCTCAACAACATTGGGAAAACATATCTATAATTATTTGAGCTTTTATGTGAATAGGATTGTAGTGGTCATTGAAGTCTTTTTATTTGGTGACATCCCATGCTCTGGTTTCCACCCACTAGCTGGAGGGAGAGCACTGTGGTGAGTTTCCCTAGAAGGTTGTATGGATGGTGAGCTCTGAGGTTTTGCACATCTGAGTATCATGCTGCTTTTCATGGGAAACAACTTGACTAGAAGAGAAGTTACAACTTTGCACCTTAAAACACTGGTTTTGTGTTGTGACAAAGGTAAGGTTTAATTTCTTACCTGGAAGTTCATTATTGGCATCCTTGCATGTGTACAAGTTGATCTTTTGCCATTAATCCCACCTGGATCTTACTGAGTCCTTCTCATCTGAGGATATCTTTCTTTCATTTTTTTTTCAGTTCAAGCAAGCTATTTTTCTTCATTGTTAAAATCATTGCTTCTTTTCTATTGGTTCTGGTCCTTCTTTGAGCATATAAATTATATGTTAGATTGCCAGTCTCTTCCTTAGTATCTCTTATTTTTTTTCTCATAATTGTGTCTTTGTTCCTTTTCTTCTGATTAAATATCTTAGATTTGCCCAGATAGTATTGGTTTAATTTTTTTGGGTGCTGATCCTACTCTGCAATCCTTCCAATTCTTGTTAAACTTTTGTCATTACATGTCTGGTATCATAACATTCCTCTGGTTCTCATCTCCTTTTGGTCTGCTTGGGTCTCAGTCAGATTCTTTCCTGATGAAAACAACTGCCTTCCTACCTTGTCCCAGATGTGTCCAGCTGGAGCAAGTGCAACACCCAGGGGCATCTCCCTCCCTCCCAGGCCTTGGCTGAATGGACCAGAGATGGAACTTTGAATTAAAGAGGCTTCGTGTTTCAAAAACCTGAACAGAAAAACAGGAAATTAGGTAGATTTTTTTTTAGGCATATTGTTTCACAGAATTGATTTTTAAAATTTATTTTTAACTGATACACAAAAACATAAAAATTATTCATGTTAAAGGGTAACCATATAATATTTTTATACATGTATATACATTGTACAATGTTTAAATCAAGTTAAATGTATCTATCTCCTCAAACAGTTATCATTACTTTGTAGTGAAAAATTTCAAAAAATCCTTTTTTAGAGCTTTTCACAAAGTACAATATGTTATTTATCTGTGCTCATCTATGTAACAGCATACCTGAACTTCTTATTCCTGATTGTAACTTTGAATTATTGACCAACCTTTCCTTATCCCTACTTGCTCTCCCTAGCCTCTAGTAACCACACTATCTACTCTCAACTTATCTATGAGATTAACATTTTTAGATTCTGCATATGAGTGAGATCATGGAGTAATTTTTTCTCAGCCTGGCTTATTTCATTTAATGATCTCCAGTTCCATCCATGTTGTCACAAATGACAGTTTTTTTTAATGGCCAAACAGTATGCAATTGTGTGCATGTACCACCTTTTCTTTATTCCTCATTCAGGGAAGGGACACTTCAGGTTGTTTCCATTTCTTAGCTATTGTAAATAGTGTTGCAATGATCATGGGAGTGCAGATGTCTCTTTGACACACTGATTTAATTTCCTTTAGTTACACACACACACACACACACACACACACACACATACACACACTCAGTAGTGGGATTGCTGGATCATATGGTAGTTCAATTTTTAATTTTTAAAGGAACCTCCATATTGTTTTCCACAATGATTGTGTTGATTTACATTTTCACTAACAGTGGGCAAGCATTCCCTTTTCTCTGTATCTTTGCCCATACTTGTTTTCTTTTAGTCTCTTTGCTAATAGCCCTTGTTTCTGGAGAGAGGTGATATCTTATTTTAGTTTTTTTAAATATTTTATTTTTTTTAGTTGTAGTTGGACACAATACATTTGTTTTATTTATTTATTTTTATGTGGTGCTGAGGATCGAACCCAGGGCCTCGCACATGCTAGGCGAGTGCTCTACCGCTGAGCCCCAGCCCCAGCCCCTCTCATTTTAGTTTTTTTAAAAATATTTTTATTAGTTATTGATGGACCTTTATTTATTTATTTGTTTGTATGTGGTGCTGAGAATCGAACACAGGGCCTCACACATGCTAGGCAAGCGCTGTACCACTGAGCTCCAGCCCCAGCCCCTCATTTTAGTTTTGATTTGCATTTTTTCTGATGATTAGTGATGCTGATATCTGTTGACCATTTGAAAAATGTCTATTTAGATCTATTGATCATTTTTAATTGGATTATTGTTATTTTTTGTTTTTGAGTTTTGGAGTTTCTTATTTACATAGAATTTATTTTTTAAGCAACTTAATAATAAAAAGTATCTACTACATATCTGTTTTGTACTTAAAGTACAATACAGATATGTAGTAGATACTTACTCAGGTATTCAAGAACAAGTATATTTTATACTCTGCTATTTATTACCTTAATTTAACTCCTGGACCCCATCTCATTAGAGTTGGGACATTTAATTTATTTTTATTGAAGCCATATTGTTATACATATTAGTTACAATTTCCCCAACAAACTCATATGTGCCTGGAAACCAATTTCATTCATGGTCTCCCCCCTTTTCCTCCCATCCTCCCTCTCCTCTCCCATTCTCCTTTCACTTAGTTTTTTTTTTTTTTTTTTGATGACCCTTTCCATTCCAGGTTGGTAAAAGGGTGTCTTTAGGACATTGTGATATATGTTCCAGGCCTTAGTTTTTTTTTTTTTTTTTTTGATGACCCTTTCCATTCCAGGTTGGTAAAAGGGTGTCTTTAGGACATTGTGATATATGTTCCAGGCCTTGGTTCTTTACTGATTATCTTTAAGCACAGTCTCACAGATCCTGGGGTTACTGTTTCTATGCCAGGCGGGCAGCACGCAGCTCTTTGGCACAATCAGGAATGTCTCATGAATTTCTTTACTGACTGTAGTCTCAACCAGGGAGAGCTCTGGTCTCTGCCATGTGCAGAATCACTGGACACCCGATCCCCACCACAGGCTTCTGGGAGTCTTTTCTTGGTCTTAGAGAATATTCTCAGACTTCCTTCCTATCCCCTCAGACAATCTTTTGGGACGTTTTTTGCTGTATGTCCTGCCAGACTTTGGAGCAACAATCAGAAAAGGATGTGTCACAGTAACTTCTACTTTCTGCCCTGCCTCAAACCTCCACAAGGAAGGAGGCCCAGAACCTGCTACTGCTTGAAATAGCAAAGAGAACATTTATACTATGTAATGATCACTATTCTATTGCCTCTGGAGTTCTATGTTCTTTTATAAATACTAGACTAAAAAAAAATAGGCTTAGTACATTATTTCTATGTTTCCGTTTAGTCAAATTTGATCTATCCAAGATTGGCATTTATCCTCAAAACAGGTAAGGGTTTTTTTCCTGGGCACTCTCACTTTCCACTTGGATGCTTTGAGGATCTTGCTCCTAACTGGACCTGGAGGCGCATCCTGGATCAGTAATGGGACAGCCTTGAGGGAGTGTACTGGTTGTTGAGACTTGGGCAGTCTTGGCAGGACATAGGGCACAAGTGTCTCTGAGGACTGTGACATGAGATGCCCTGTGGCTGTGCTTCTTCCTCACGCTCCTGCCTCTCTGTTAGGAAAGAGCCTACTCTTCCCTAGAAATGCCCCCATCCCTGTCCAGCCCCTCTGAGCATTGCTGTCAGTGTCTCCAGAGCAGGTGGGATGTTTCGTAGCTTTAGATTCTCCCCCACTCACTTTCCAAACTACTTTTCTCTGGGAAGTGAGTTGAATGTGGGGTTTTGCCCTCTTTCTTCATTCTGGTTACTATTCTCACTGTCTCCAGAAGACCTTTCTGGCTCTTGGATGGTACTTACCCTTAGTTTTAAGCATCAGTGAGATTTGTCCAGTTTTATATTTCTTCAGTCTTTCAGACACTTTTGCTCTGATCTCCCTCTTTTTTTTTTTTTTTGTATCAAGGATTGAACCCAGGGGTACTTCACCACCGAGCTACATCCCCAGCCTTATTTATTTATTTATTTATTTATTTTTGAGACAGGGTCTCACTAACTTGCTGAGGCTGGCTTTGAACTTGTGATCCTCGTGTCTCAGCCTCCAGAGCTGCTGGGATTACTGGCAGGTGCCACCAACCACAGCTGACTTCCTGTTTTTTGAGTGAACATCCTCCTCTTTCCCCCTCTCCTACCAATTGACTGTTGTCTAAACATCTAAATAGGTAACACCTAAATAATTTAGATAACGTCTAAATAGATAATATGGCAATGTTTGTGAGCAAAAGAGATACTGCTTTTTGGGCAAATGCCTAGGAAGATGATGCCAGTCAAGCTCATCCATGATTTTAAGCAGCAGCATCTATGCATCCAGGGTATGGTCAATGATTGGGGACTGAGGTAAATACTTGTAATCTGTATAACCCTTCTTTTTTTTAGTACCTGATATTCATCCATTGTCAAAGGGTGATTCTCTTATCTTTAATTCTTCTGATTTGACTTGGACTTTACAGATTACTTCATATCCTCTCAGAATAGTGGAAGGAGAGATCATCAGGGATCTGGAAATGTGGTCCCAGCTAATGTTCTCACCACACCTAGAAACATTATTCTAATAAATTAATGGTATTCCTACACTTATAGAATGAGGATGGCACTGATATCTATGGTAACACTTTACAATCAGTGGTTTTCCATATAGTATCTCAGTATCTCATTAAAAACCCTCATCTCAAAACCTGATTGTGCTGCTGGTGTGCAGAGTGAAATAAAACATCCTCACTGGCTCTTTTCAGGCTTTAGAGATGAGTCCATTGGCACCTGGGAGTGTGGTCAGTGAGGAGCCCTTCAAAATCACCTGTGCACCGATGGCCTCAGATGCCTTTTACATCTATGCTGTCAGGACTGGACCCTTCTCTGCCGGGGGTGTGGCCTTGCCCAGCACTTCTCTAAATGCTGTCATGCTTACCTGGGCTGTGCAGTTCAAACATTCTGCTAGTGAAAGAGTAACTTGCTGACAGAAATGAGGTGGAGAAAGGTGGCAATTTAGGGGTCCCCCACTGGGCTAATTTCCTCTGAGCATTCAGAGAGCCTTGTGTGAGCAGCCAGTGTCAGGGCAAGCATAGCAGATGCTGTGAACAGGGTCTGCTCTTGAATGTCCTTAGTTAAGAAAATGTTATTTTAGTAACAATAATTGTAATCAGCGATTGTAAGTGATTGTGTATTGCTTGAATTGCTTCATGAATCCTGACCATCATAAGTAGGCACGACTGTTATACTCATTTTACAGAGGAGGCTTAAGAAGTCAGGCAACTGGATCAATGTCAAGTACCCAAAAAGTGAGCAAAAGAACCTGGATTCACACCCAGGCTGCCTGTCTAGGAGCCTGCCCTCTTGCTCCTAGACTACTGTGGGGCACGAGAAATCCCAGCTCATTCTGTTTGAGCTGACCATCAGCATTCTCTCCTGTCTTTAACATGTACATTCAAGGCCTGGTTTTTCCATTACCTTTTATTTGCATAAGTACTCTTTGAACTTTTGTTGAAACTTTTTGTTTCCTAATTTCCAACAAAATCAGGAGACTCTGGTTGGTCAGCCTTTAAGCTCCTTTGTAGGGGCTAACATTTATAGTCCTTTGACTCCCGACATCCACACTCTGTGGCCTCCTACACTCTGTGTGTCGGGTGTCTTTAAAATTGCTGCTAGAAACATGTTGAAAACAAACTTGAGGTTTGCAAAAATAAAGACGCCTGGTTGGACCCAACAGAATGTTATCCAGGGTTATTTTTGGGTGGCGGGATGATGATAGTTTTAAAACAGATTGTATTTCTTTTTTGGCTTCTCTGTTTTCTAGTTTTTCTCCTATATATATTTGCATAGTTAAAAATATTAACAGTCTAAAAAGTTGAGATC